ACTGGTCTGTAGTTTCCTGGGTTGTTTTTATTTCCCTTTTTATAGATGGGCACTATATTTGCCCTTTTCCAGTCTTCTGGAATCTCTCCCGTCTCCCATGATTTCCCAAAGATAATAGCTAGAGGCTCAGATACCTCCTCTATTAGGTCCTTGAGTATTCTAGGATGCATTTCATCAGGCCCTGGTGACTTGCAGGCATCTAACTTTTCTAAGTGATTTTTAACTTGTTCTTTTTTTATTTTATCTGCTAAACCTACCCCCTTCCCATTAGCATTCACTATGTTAGGCATTCCTTCAGACTTCTCGGTGAAGACCGAAACAAAGAAGTCATTAAGCATCTCTGCCATTTCCAAGTTTCTTGTTACTGTTTCTCCCTCTTCACTAAGCAGTGGGCCTACCCTGTCTTTGGTCTTCCTCTTGCTTCTAATGTATTGATAAAAAGTCTTCTTGTTTCCCTTTATTCCCGTAGCTAGTTTGAGCTCATTTTGTGCCTTTGCCTTTCTAATCTTGCCCCTGCATTCCTGTGTTGTTTGCCTATATTCATCCTTTGTAATCTGTCCTAGTTTCCATTTTTTATATGACTCCTTTTTATTTTTTAGATCATGCAAGATCTCATGGTTAAGCCAAGGTGATCTTTTGCCACATTTTCTATCTTTCCTAACCAGCGGAATAGCTTGCTTTTGGGCCCTTAATAATGTCCCTTTGAAAAACTGCCAACTCTCCTCAGTTGTTTTTCCCCAGTCTTGATTCCCATGGGACCTTACCTATCAGCTCTCTGAGCTTACCAAAATCTGCCTTCCTGAAATCCATTGTCTCTATTTTGCTGTTCTCCCTTCTACCCTTCCTTAGAATTGCAAACTCTATGATTTCATGATCACTTTCACCCAAGCTGCCTTCTACTTTCAAATTCTCAATGAGTTCCTCCCTATTTGTTAAAATCAAGTCTAGAACAGCTTCCCCCCTAGTAGCTTTTTCAACCTTCTGAAATAAAAAATTGTCTGCAATGTTCATTTGGCTGGGTACAAACTCAAGTACGTGCGAATAAGTCAAAATGCCTGGCCGTAGTTGTGAACAATGTCAAAAGTTGTCCGTAAATGATATTTCGGCCTGGCTCCGATGTAGTATTTCATTTTTTGTGCACGCAGTGTTTCGCCGTGTGCGCGGGGTTTAGGATCTGTGTGCATGTGCACAGCTTAGAGGGAACAGTGAATAGGGACCATCACTTGAAGAAGAACTTGTCTCTCTCACCAACAGAAATTGGTTCAATAAAAGGTGTTAACTCACCCTCCTTGTCTTTCCAAGATCAATGACTGAAATTTTCTGGTTGAGTTTTGCCTGGAAACCAAAATGGATCAACAAGACTAATGGAGAAATTATTTTCTTCTGATGCCCAGACTAACTAGGTCGTGTAGGTCTGATTAAAGGAGTCCCTGCTTCAAGAGGTCTGGTCTTTTCCAACAGTGCAATAGAGGTTCCTTGACTGTCCATCAAGTCCAACAGGACCATTCTGCAGCTGCCTGAATTCTGAGCCACTTTCCCTGGAGAAAGGCCCTTAAGCACAATTCCCATTACACTGCAGCCAAAAGCAGGGCTTCACAGGAATAATAGGCTGCCGGGCGGTGAGAAAGAGGTGGTGAGCTTGATACAAGACAACAGTGAGACTGTTGGTGTGCTGTGTGACAGACCCAGACCAGTGGGGTACAGGAGTCTGGTAGAGGGCAAATATACTGGTCACTGGATGAGTAGTTTTCTGTTCCCTGAGTGACCAGAGAAGGGGCTGCACTAGAGTAATCAGGAACCTGCTAGAACCAGTTAAGGCAGGCAGGCTAATTAGGACACCTGGAGCCAATTAAGAAGAAGCTGCTAGAATCAATTAAGGCAGGCTAATCAAGGCACCTGGGTTTTAAAAGGAGCTCACTTCAGTTTGTGGTGCGAGTGTGAGGAGCTGGGAGCAAGAGGCGCAAGGAGCTGAGAGTGAGAGGGTGTGCTGCTGGAGGACTGAGAAGCACAAGCGTTATCAGACACCAGGAGGAAGGTCCTGTGGTGAGAATAAAGAAGGTGTTTGGAAGAGGCCATGGGGAAGTAGCCCAGGGAGTTGTAGCTGTCATGCACTATAGACAGCTGCAGTCCACAGGGCCCCGGGCTGGAACCCGGAGTAGAGGGCGGGCCCGGGTTCCCCCCAAACCTCCCAATTGATCTGGACTGTGGGTTCTTCCAGAGGGGAAGGTCTCTGGGCTGTTCCCCAACCCACATGGTGAATCTCTGCAGCAAGAATATCCGCCAATAAGCGCAGGACCCACCAAGATAGAGGAGGAACTTTGTCACAGCTGATACCACTGCCTATCATGTTGACCAATATTTGTCTCACTCTTTCCTTGCAGTCCTCCTTCAGTCTGTATCCATCTGTCGTCTCTTGTCTTGTACTTAGATTGTAAGCTCTTTGGGATACGGATTGTCTTTTTTGTCCCATGTATGTACTGAGCCTAGCACAACGGGGTCCTGTTCCATGACTAGGGCTTACCGGATCTACGGTAATAAATAATAATAATAATACAGAACATTGTGAAAGAGGCTCTGTATACTAGCAAACCCCCAGCAAACACTTCTTCAAGGGGAGGGAAGGCAAGGTACGAGTTTAACCTCTGATTTTTATACCATTTGTTCATTATCACTACAAATTGCTATTATCAAGGGGATGATTGCTTTGCCTTTTTTGGGACCCAGAGTCTCTGGAGTTTGCAAGATGTAGCCCCAAGCTTCATAAGAATCCCCCTGTTCATAATGAGAGGAAGGGGAGCTACATACAAGCCCTGGTTCTTTCCCCATGGAGCTGAGAACGCCCCTTCCCCCTCCCACACACACACACTTTGGTATCATGAAGAGAGAGGGCAGCTTTGGATTCCTTCAGGAATTTTTTTCCCTCTGACCCAGGGACTTACCCTCTGATCTGCTGGCCAGATGGTATCCTCCTTAGATTCTCTCCTCAAAATGCTCAGAAGGTCCTTATTGGAGTTGCGCTTCTCAGGGGAGGAGGTGCTAATCCAACTCTGAGCCCTATGCTCTGGCAGTGAGAGCACTGGCTGGCTGTGAACAGGCAGAGCCTAATTCACCCACTGTAGAGCCTGTGAAGGCTGCCCCACTTTGAGAATGCTGCTTAGATTTAGCCCAGTATTTGCAGGACAGCTCTGCTATGCAGGAATTCAGAAGGGAGGTGCAGCAGTGGTGGATTTGGGTGGTTGAAACAACCATGCTGCCAAATACCTAATTCAGGGGAGGAGAAGGAAGAAAGATTGTAAATTGCTACTGCACAAAAACAAATAAAAATAAAAATTATAAATCAAAATGGTCAGGAGAAACTGAACCACCAACTTGTGCAGCTAGAGGCAGAAGATCTGGTAGTCTGAACTGAAATGTAGGGCTTAGTCCAGGAGCTTCCAGCAACATTGGACCACCTCTGCATTTCACAGGTACAAGCATTAACCCGTTAGTGATGAATAAACATAGAAGCTGTGCTTAGAACAGCTTTTACCTTCATATCTGTACACCTTGAGGAATCTTTTAAAAGTTGAGGAATGGGGAGTGTTGGGCAGGGGGAAGTACGGAGTTATTTTGGTGCACAGATCTGGAGGAAGTGGGGAGGACAGCAGGAGTTGAGGAATTGGATTGGAACAGAAGAGGCATGGCATAGAACGATTGTGGACATGGGAGGGCAGAGTGGATGGTGAGCAACATAGAGGGAGAAGCAGCAGTGTTTGTGCAAGTAGACATGGAAGGGTGGAGAGGGTAGGTAGGTGGCATGGAGGAAGAAGCAGCAATGTTTGTGTGGGGGAGCTGGGCTTTCCATAGCAGTCACTGAAGGAGAGCAGATGTTTTATGGGGAAAATGGTGTCTCTATTGGGTGGGGAGAAGCAGGTTTGTGCTGTGACAAACCTCGAACATTATGCTACAGAGGATCTCCACTCTACCACTTATAAATAATTGCGAAGTAGGGAGCCAGATACTCATTAGGGACAGGAAACTGGGAAAAGGTGTGCAACAGCAGTATTAGTGAGTCAGTGGCGAGTCCGTTTACACCCCACCATGTTCCCTATAGTCCTCCTTTAAGCATGACAACAACAGGAGTCCCAGTCCAACTTGCTAATGGTCATAGCAGGTCTCTGCAGGAGGTTTGCCAGAGTTGCTAACTTAATTTTTCAGACAATCCTTACCCCTTCTTGCCAATAGGACATGGTGGGAGGAAGGCGGTTCAGGAGGAAAAGCTGCAGTCAGACAAGTAGCCCTAGCCAGGGAGGCAGCTTCTCCCTCTAGTGAATCTTTGTGATTTGTTATGAGGAAATCAAGCTCTGACAAACCTCACTTGGTATGTACAACCGGAACTAAAATAAAAGTGGTCAGTAAAAATATGTATTCAAACCTGGAGTTGAAGGATATGTTCCAGGCAAGTGAATTTGATTGTTTACATGTTATAAATAAATGAAGAAGATTTGAGCCCCTTTCATGATGTTACAGTTCTAGGTGATCTCTTCATCCAACAACTACTAGTAGTAGATATACCACCAAGAAAACATGTGTGTTCTACCTGTTTGAGGGTCTGATAATCCTTTCACAGCAGATGTCAGATTTTCCTATCAATCGATGCATCAAAACTATGGCTGCCTTTTGACATCTTAACACTAGAGAAGTACAGAAAAGGTAAGGACATTAACTCTGTTGGAAATAGTGTCTTATAATTTACCTCTATTGCAGTATGGTGAGTCCAACAGTATCTCTGGGATTCTAGATTCAGCAGCTAAAAACTATAAATACATTCTAATGACTTCCCTGATAATCCAAGAAAGTGAGAAAAGCCAACAGTTTAATTTAAAACAAATATTCTATTCTACTTTATCAATACATCAGGTTCAAAAATACGGGTTCACGACTAAACGTTGGCAGACCTTTAACTACACCATTGTGAGCAGTGCTGCTGTAACATACTGGTATGAAGGAGATCTTAATGGATAAAAATTGCACCATTCTTGTTCAACTCTAAGGTTTTCTATTCAATAGAGTAAATGCTATTTATTAAACCTTTGTTTTTGCAATATAGATGTGCATTATTAAATACAATTAGGTACTGTATAAATGTTTACAATGTGCAAAGAGTAAAAAAATCATTTAAATATGAAGTATATACAGTACTGTACATATGCATTTAGTAGCATTTTCGTTTTCTTAGCCTTTGTAGCTTCTTTTGGATTACTAATAAGCCCTCAGTTTCCCTTGTGTCTTTCCCAGAAGCCTCAGCTCCTTCAGTACTGTTTTGTGAAGTTTTTGTTTCTGCAGCAGACTTAGAATTATTTTTGAGTAAAAGGTGATCTGATGGATCATTGGATATTGCACTGGTGGATTCATCCACACAATCAATCTTCTTTTCTTCTGGCAAACTATGCAAGAGCACTTGTGTGTTTATCATTGCAAGTTCTTCATCGGCAACCAAGTCATTCTCAGGAAGAGGGGCAGTTTCATTTGTCCTTTTAAAGGAGTTGATATGACCAGAGTTAGGATTTGTTCTCTTCAGTGATTTGTTAAACTGGACACCAGAGCTTCGTGGTGGCTGAAAAGCCTTTTTCAAAGATGGAGAAACAAATGAATTCATTGGTGTCACTGGAGGAGGGGAAGGTATTTTACAGAGCAGGTCCAGAGCTTTTCTTTTTTTGCAGTTCTTGGGGGGTTCTTCACTATGAGAAGTATGTGGGGTCATTTGTTCTGAGCCTTGTTGAACAAGTTTCAGGTCACGCTTGCTGTATGGCAGAGACCTCTGATACTGTATTTCGCTATTAGGAGAGGAAATCTAGTTAAAAAGAAGAAAAAGTTTTAATGTTGAGTCAAACACCTTATTTTCTTTAATTTCCTATTATTTCCACATACAATAGGAAATTGGACAAACAATACTGTGCCACCATTTATGTCTGAGCACATTAGTCGATCTTCTGGTAGTGGCTAGCAATCCCAAGCTGAAGTTAGTAGAAAAAAGTTGTATGACTCCAGGAGGGTCCCTGTGTACATACAGATTAAGGCAGAGAACAGTTTGGCACTGTATCGCAAATCTAAACTTCCCATATGTGAAACCTCTTCCATCAGATGATGAGGATTCATAAAATGCCTGACCAGCTATGAAAAGACAGGCTGACCTAATATATTCTAAATGACAAGAGGTTGAAAAAATACGAGGTAGGGAAGTAGGGAGACAGAAAAGGAAAATAGGGTATGTTGCTCTTGCACTGAAAGCTGGGAGCTGATCTTTAGTTTGTTTCAGATAAAAGTTAGTTAGGAAGTGTAACAGATGTGATGAACAAAGGCATATCTTGAGACCACTTTATTTGACTTTTTGAATGTTATATGGAACATTTTGGGCTAGGGATTGTACTCTATTCCCTGGAGGAGGGTTACCACAGCACTCCAGGAACTAAAAACAGTGGGAGGCGATTATTTCAGTCCTTGAGATTGTGAACAGTTCTAGAGAAGTACCACCC